AAAGAGGAGACGTCAAGGATAACTCTTGCCTAAGCAAACAGACGGGTGTGGTACCATCCACAGGACTGTGGAAGGCTTACAAGAAAGATGTGGAGTGGGGTCAGGTTCCATAGTTCAGTTTGGGCCACGTCAAGTTTGAGGCACCTCTTAGACGTTCTTGTGAGATACTGAGTAGGGCAGGTGGTTAATGGGTTGGGAGCTCAGTGGAGAGGCCTGAGAGGGTAAACGTGAGAGCATCTGTATAAAGATGATATTTGAAGTGTGGCTAGGATGAGATACTCTAGCCAAAGTGCATAGAGAAAGAAGTGGTCTGAGGATTCAGCCGTGAGTTTTGGAAGGGGAGGTGGATTTGGCAGAAAAGTATGAGAAGGAATGGCCACTGATGCAGGAAGATGACCAGCAGATACATCCTCCCACTCAAATGTTGCCCAGAGATGACCCCAGATTGAACCAAAAGTCCTGGGCAAACCTCAGACTTCTCTCTCCTTGGCCCAAACTAGTATGAAACCAAATGTCATCCCTCTAAATCAATGTGACATGAAAAAATAGGCACTAGACTGTGTTAATACTTATCTTTGTATTAAAGATGAGGATATCGAGGCTCAGAGAGGTTAAATCAGTGGCTCCAAGTCACACAGCTATAGCCAATGGAGCCAACTCAGACCTTCTGACTCCAAATCTCACTCCTTCCCTCTTCACCAGGCGCCCTGCCAGCTAGGAAATTTCCAGGCTAAAACCGGTGCCTTCTGCAGACTTGAGGTGTTTCTCGTCATGCTTCTCTTTCTCTCATGGTGACCAATATATTGAAAGGGTCTTTTGGGGCAAAAAGAATTTCTGAGACACCCTGATGGTGCAGGCAAAGAGAAGACACTCAACTAAAAAGCTGAGATGAGACCTCCCTATCTTAGTTTGTTTGGTCACATCTCTGGGTCTGGATCAACCAGTCACTTGGCAAAAATCTACAGTCTGCAGTGATTTCATTGCAGTGGGATTTGCAAGGGGAGATTTCTGAACTCCCTCACCAGGAGTTTGCTCTGTAGTGCTGGCGGACCTAAGACTTCATTTGGTTTTTTATCTACAGACTATATATATAAAAACCCCTTAGGCTCCCAGGAACTCTCCTAAGATTCACAACCATGGGTCTCTTATTTTTCCAGGCCAGCCCCAATTCTAATTTTCAACAAAGTTGAGCCACTGAGCATGTAAGAATATAGAAGAACTTTTGGACTTGCATTAAGACTTTTCATGTAAATACATTCACGTTTCAGTCTGCATGACCACTGGCAGCCTGACATCAATATCAATACAGCATTTAAACTGTTGTACTGAAAACCACATAACTCTTAAGGAAAAATTCAGAATAAGGAAGCTAAAGTTTGCTTCAATGTTTATATATAAGAATTTTAATAAAAATAGTTTTTTTTTTTTTTTTGCGGTACGCGGGCCTCCCACTGTTGTGGCCTTTCCCGTTGCGGAGCACAGGCTCCGGACGCGCAGGCTCAGCGGCCATGGCTCACGGGCCCAGCCGCTCCACGGCACGTGGGATCTTCCCGGACCGGGGCACGAACCCGTGGCCCCTGCATCGGCAGGCGGACTCCCAACCACTGCGCCACCAGGGAAGCCCCTTATGTTTTACATTAATGTAATTTAAGTAAAAATGTTTCCCCCTCGTCATTTTAAACTGTAAAAGTAGAGTATTTTAGAACTGGGAAAAACCTTAGAGATGATTTTATTGAGTCCCCTCATTTTAAGGTGAGAAAATTGAAGAACCTAGAGGTAGCCTATTCCACTAGAGAGAATTCTAGGAAGTGCATTTTTATATTGAAAAATACACAAATTCCCTGGGCTCCCAGGGACTCCCCTAAATTAACCACAGGCCCCAGATTGTCCAGGTCACCCTCAGTTCTGTATAATGTCCAACAAAGTGTAATGTAACAATATGGCAGAATTTTTATACTGTAAGATCTTTTCATGCCAACATATGGCTTTCACCCACTGACACTGGACCTGAGCAAGTCTGATACCACGTTTTTAAGAAAACCCTGCAGGAGTCTGAAGGCCCGTCCTTTTATGTTCCCTACAATAAGGCTTCCCAACATGCTAGTTACTCACCTCTGAACACGCTCCATTTGTTAATGCTATTCTTACACCTCGAGGCCCCAGACCAACGACCGTCAAATGCTACAGTCTAGGAAGTGGAGTGCTTATCGGTCAGGTCGTCTCATCAGCATCTTGTGGTTGATATTTTCATATGAAAAACTTCCAAGTCAAAGCTCCTCTCACAACCTCGAGTTTGGGATCTATTATTTTTTTTGACTGGAGTTGCAAGACTTTATTTCTAGTCCTTGTTGAGTTCGGTATTGACGGTTCATGCCCAGGATTCAGATGTGATCAGATAGTTTTCAATCTCTATTCTGTAATCTATTAAATATTAGTTTTTGCTCAGTTTTGTGTCATGCAATATTACGCACTTTTCTCCCCAAGTGTAAGATGACTTTTTACCCATTTAAGTTTTAAAGGCATCTGTTAGTACCAGCTTGGCTTGGTATCCTACGGCCGCTCCAACACCTGCGAATCGTCAGCAGAAAATGCCAACAGACCTTGCTTTCTCTTTTGTGTTGAACATCTTGTTGCTGCCACTGCCCCCCAATCAGATAGCTCTCCAGGTGAAACCTTCCCGCCTCAATCAGAAACCTACCTTCCAGGATACAGTCAATGATCAATGCTTTAGATGTAGTATCTCAGCCAGTTTGATGTTCGCCTTAGAGAGAAATCATCCAAACCGCATACCGTCATTTTAGCCAAATAATATGATTCTCAAAGAACTGAGTGGATGATTTGCCAAAATATAGACATACCATGCAAGCTACAAGCAAGATGAATAAACAACTGGGCTTTAGAACCAGACATACCTGGCCGAAAAATCCCCATCTGTCTCTTGTAAGCTGAATGGTCTTGAGCAATCACGTGATCTCTCCAAGATTGTTTCTTCGTCTGTGAAATGGGGATAATAAACCATAACTCAGAGGTTTGCTGGCATTATTAAGTGTCTCTCACACACACAATACAGAGGCTGACTCATGGTAGGCGCTCAGTAAGTGGCTATCATTATGTAGCAAAAGATTACAAGTTTGCCCAGTGGTTATGAGAACAGACTCCAGAGACTGACTGCCTAGGTTCAAATCTTAGCTTAGTCATTTATTAGCTGTTGGTTGTGGCCAGCTGTCCTAACCTTAAACTTGCCTTTGTTGTCTACCCTTTAAAATGAGATGATGATAATTTCAACTATCTTGTGAGGTTTGTATGAGAATTAATTAATTTAGACAAAACAGAATGGTGCCTGGCAAATGGTAAGCATTCAACATTTTAGATTTTATGATGTTTATTGTTTCCCATTACTCAAATGATGTTGGAAACCCATTAGAAGCTGTCAAAACAATCCTATCACACAGGAAATGCCAAAATTTTAATTTCTCTCAAGGTGCAGTTTGGGATGATTTTTAGAATTAAAATTGGATGAAACACGGTGGTGCCATAAATCACAACAGAAAATGCAGGAATCAGCTGGGAAAGGAGGGGCTGGTCAATTTCCCTTGGGCTTCCCTACCAGGGTGCAAGGGCAAGGTCCGGCCCCAGGGCTTGTGGCTGTGTGCCCCTCCTCACAGGCCCTCAGACGGAGACCCTTCCAGGAGACCCTTCCAAGAAGCACAACTACGGTGAAGGCACCCAAAAGCACAATCTCATAATTGCGGTGCCCCTGGTAGGTGTGTAGGGTATTGTTTTTGTTTGATGGATCTCCCACCTGGTAGTAAAGTGGCTGAGTCACTGCTGTCTGTGTGCTGGGGGGTGAGAAAGGGGCATCACACTTAAGTGTCTTCCAAGCCAACCAACCTTGACTGCTGGGCGCTGGGTCTCTCCTCCCTCTTCCTTCTTTCTGCTCTTAGTGAAATGTGGCCAAAGAATAAACAGTTCTGAGAAGTCAGAAGCTTTGGATATCATAGGCGGGGTGCCTGCAGACATTGTAGATTTCCCATGGCAGATGCGTACCCTTGACAGTGGGAATCATCTCTGTGGAGGATCGATCCTCAGTGTGTGGTGGATTCTAACTGCAGCCCATTGCTTCAAAAACAAAAATAAGTAAGTGTTGCAGATAGAATTTTGTTTTCAAGCCAGCGTGGTAGAATATTTGCCCCGACATGCCTATTATTCACGTTCATCAGCCGTAAAACAAAATACCAGGAGGTAGACACCTGCGTTAAATATCACACTTTGCAGGTGGAAGGAAACCGTTCTTCTTCTAGGGTGTTGCACGGCTTGCTGTGTGGGACCTACACTGCAGAGCAAATGCTCCTTGGGCTTCTCAGCATTTTGCCAAGTGCGTGGAGTCCTGGTCCAAACCCCTAGAGAGTCCTTTCCTAAGCATTTGCTCTCAGGGAGAAAGTGGGCTGACAGAGATCACGGAGTTGGGGAAATCATAGAAGGATTGGGCCCTGAGGGCAGGGTGCCAGGCCTGGCTGCATGGCAGAAGGTGCTGTCTGAGTCCCAGTCTACAAAATATTTTTGCAAAACTTCCAAGGTGTCTGTGATATAGCCAGCCAGCTTTTCTTGCAAATCAAGGCCCTCAATTACTTATGCCATCGTATGGCTTCCCAGACATTTGTTGATGAACTTTACAAGTGAATTTGCCCAAGCAAAGAGCCGTCAGGGCAAGAGCTGGTTGGCCAGAGGGCAGGCTGGGCACTCAGGTCAGTCTCCCCCCCGCCCCCCCCCCCGCTCCCCCTCCGCGGGCGGG